TCCCTCCACCACCTGTTACCCATGTGTATGATCTCCTTTACACCAGAATTTCTAGAACATAGGTCTGTTCTTGCTGTCTCCTCTCTTTGCCCAGTTTCCCTTGAACTTGGGCTCTTATTTCCACACTGCACAGAAAAGGTGGGAAAAAACTTCTCATTGTCTCCATGGCCTCCGCTGACAAATAGATGGTTTCATCAGCATGGTCAGGTCTCGTCCTGCTGATGTATGAGTAGCATTGGGCTCAGCGGATGATCTTTTTCTCGATCTGGAAGCCTTTTCTTCACTTGGCTTCCTGAACACCACAGTCAGATCTGACTTCCTCCTGACTCCGTGGGTCCTGCTTATCTCCCCAACTTACTAACATTTAAGGGTTTCAGGTTTCTCTCCTTGGACATCTTTGTTTGTTCTCAAATCCTTGAAGATTTTAATTTAATTTCAGGATTTTACAAACCACCTGTGTCTGACAACTCCTCGATTTGAATCTCCAGTCTTCTTTCTGAATCCCCAGTGCAAATATCCAGCTTCTTATCCAGTGCCTCCATGTCGAAGTCCAGTAAACCTGTTGCCATTGAGTCAGCTCTAATTCATGGCAACCTCATGTGCCCAAGGAGGACGGCCCCCCTAGGGGTTGCAAGGGCTGACTGGGATTAGAAAGCTAGTTTTTCTCAGTAGATACATAAAGTTTGTTGTTGCTGTTTTTATGTGCGGTCGAATTGCTTGCAACTCATAGCAACCCTATGTACAATAGCCCTGAAACCTGCTCTGTCCTGTGTCAACCTTATTCTGACACACCTACCCTCATTACTATAGTCACTGAATCAATCCATCTCATCGAGGGTCTTCTTCTCTTGCACTGTCCCTCCACCCTTCCAAGCATAACGTCCTTCTCCAAGGACTGGTCTCGCTTTGCAACATGCCCAAAGTATGTCAGACAAAGCCTCAGAATTCTTGCCTCCAAAGAGCCGCCTGGTTTAGCATTTGAAAAATCCAGCTCTTCATCTATCCTCAAGAACTTACTTCATTCTGACTCTTCCTCATCTTAGTTAATGCAACTAACTACATTCTTTCCGTTGCTCAAATCCAAAGTCATGAAGTCATCCTTCTTTGTTTTGTTTTGTGTGAAGGTTTACAAGTCATGTTGGTTTTTTATACTGTCACTCACAGAAATTTTGTTTTATAACATTAATTCCCATTGATTAATGTGATTGATTGATTGATTGATTAGCATCAACCCCTCACTGTGTGTTGCCTTTCCCTTCAATCAACATATCTATATTTATTACTTTTTATTCTTCTCTTCCTCCCCTCCTATCCCTCAGTCCTTTTCATCTTTCACAACCTACAGCCAATCCATTAAGAAATCATTTTAGATATACCTTCAAAATTTATATTAAATCCCACTATTTCTTAGCACCTCCACTACTAATCCTCTCATTTGTTATAATGTCTCTTCTGGTTTGTATTAGTAACTTTCAAACCGATCTCATTTTCCGCTTTTGCCTCTTAAAGTCAATTCTTATATAGAAGCTAGAGTTATTCTGCTAAAAGATGTGAGACTGTTTGACCCTCTTGCTTAAAACCCTCCAATCGTTCCCATTTCCTGGGAGTAAAAAGCAAAATTCTTCAAGCAAGATTGCATTGCTGGATGCTTTCTACTCATACTCTTCTTATTAACCCTGTTTCACTAGCCTCCCCACTGACCCTTGACAACTTGAAGACATCAGGCCTATTCCCAACATAGGGCTTTCACATTGGCTGTTCCTGCACAGCCCTCTCCCTATCTTCTCAAGTCTCTGTTCAGATTTTAACCTCCTACAATGTCTACATTGACCAGGACATTTAAAAGTACATCCTTTCTCCCACACTTCCAGTGCTCTTTAACTATATTTTTTATTGTGTTGTGTTTGTTTTTTTTTTTTTATTGTCTCCCTCGTATATAAATCTGAGGAGATCAGAACGTTTTATTTACTGATGCATCCTGCCAGTCTCTGGAACAGTTCTAGTCTCGTTATAATCTTGTTAGGTACCAGTTGGCTGGGTCTGATTCATGTTGTTGTTGTTGTGTGCTGTCCTGTCAGTTCTGACCCATAGCTGATCATTCAGTGGGTTTTCAGAGGCACTAAATTGAATGAGAGGAGGATGTCCATCCCTGTCCTGCTGGCTGTGACAAATACTGACCCTGTCCACAACAGAACCTTTCCCAACTCTGTGCCATCCTCACAACCTCAGCTTAAGCCCATTGTTCCATCATTGTGCCACTGATCTCTCTGAAAGTCTTCTTCTTTGCCAACACTCTGCTTTCTTAAGCAAGATGTCCTTTTCTGGAACTGGCCCCTCTTGATTACATGCCCACAGTATATGAGATGAAGTCTAATATAAGGGGCACCAAGACAGATTTCTTTGTTTTCTTTGCATATTAAATGTTTGGCTGTAGCAAAATTCAAAGACATCAATTCTTCTTCAGTGTTGCTTACTCATTCAGTGTTTCTATGCATATGAAGCAATTGAAAAATACTGTGGCTTGGGTCAGGTGCACTTTAGACTTCCAAGGAAAATCCTTCTCATACACAGAATAAAGATTCATTGAATATAGTATTCACATTCATTATTTTTCTACTACTCAAGAAGGCCTTCCAGAATTTGATCCAAACCTACACCTTCTCAGTCTGTATAGGTTAAGTATTCATTCTGTAACCCTTCAGGAAGTACTTCCTTTTGCTAGACCCTGGGGAGGACTTTGGATGCATATAGATCAAAAAAGATAACAGCCTTGGCCTCTAAGACCCTAGGAAAATGCCAATTCTTCTCCTTTCTCCTGTTGACTTTCTGCCCTGTGTGTTAACATGGAAGAGGTGATCTTGTCACCTTTTCTCTTGAACCCCTCTGATTCCCTGTTGTCTGGGAGCCCTATTAATGTTCCCTGACAGAGCAGGCAGATAACATCTTCTGGGATTGAACATACTGGTTTCCAACTATTCTATTTCAAAATCACAAGACTTACTGGTCTTCTACTGAGTTTTCTACTTACTAATCTTCTACTGAGTCCAACCATATAGTTCCCTATTTACTTTTCATTACTTACTTAGAAGCATTTTCACTGCATTATCTGATCATCTATTGGTCTTTATAGTATTCCCTTTGCATTATTTGTCAGCTTCTGGCAGATAGAGGTTCCTAATGGGTTGTATGAAGATTTCTTAAGTTGCTACTATACAGTTAAGTGGATTCAGTCAGACTCATGATGATCTAAAGTTGAACTATGCTTTAATGACAGTTGTTTTATTTTTAAAGTTGATCACCAGGCCATTATTTCAAGTTGCTAGTTACAATTTTCTCAACAAGATGGATTGATACAGTGGTTATAGCAATGAGCTTAAGTGTATCAGAGACGATGAGGATGATACAAGATTGGTCAGGACTTGTCCATAGGGTCACTGTGAGTTTCAGTCAGCTGGATGGCACATAACAACAGCAACAGTTACAACTTAAACTAGGTCTGAAAGCTCAAAAGAAGCTTGATTCAAGAGCACAAACGATGTCATCAGGGCCTAGTCTTTCTCTGTCTGTGGACTTTTTCTTCACCTACTCTGTTCTAAGGCCCCACAGAGTAGCAGAATGACCTTTAGTAGCGACAGACTTTCTTCCTCTCAAGTTTAATTCCTGTTGTTGTTGTTATGTGCCGTTGAGTCACTTGCAACTCATAGCGACCCTATGTACAACAGCCCTAAACTCTGCTCTGTCCTGTGCCAATTGCACTGTCTCCGATAAACCCATCCTGATTATCCCAGTCACTGAATCAATTCACCTCAGAGAGGGTCTTCCTCTCCTGCGCTGTCCCTCCACCTTCCCAAGCATGATGTCCCTCTCCAAGGACCTGTCTCTCCTCACAACATGTCCAAAGTATGTCAGACAAAGCCCCAGAATCCTGGCCTCCAAGGACCCTGGTTTAACCCTCTCTAGGATGAACCTGTTTGTATTCTTAGCAGTCCATGGTACATTCAATACTCTTCTCCAGCACCACACCTCAAAGGCATCAATTCTCCTTCTATCCTCCCTAGTCATTGCAAGTGTAATTAGAACAGAGAGAATTTTGGGCACAACTTGCATTGGCCCAGATTTTTGTACAGATTTCGTACATCTGGATCTGGAGGCAGGTATTAAAAGAAGAGGAATTATGTTGGGTATTCTGGTGGCATAGTGGTAAAGAGTTGCACTGCCAACCTGAAAATGTTGTTGTGGTTGCTGTTAAGTGCCGTTGAGTCGCAGGAGACTCATAACAACCCTATGAACCTAAGTCCTGGACACCTCCTGTATAACTTTTGTCCTTTTTCCAGATTCATAGGGTTTCCAGAGGCAAGCTATTATGGAAATGGATGCCATTCCTGCTTCCAAGCTTGTTTTAACCGGGGAGCTTCACCAAACACTGTCCACCATTCTCACATTTGACACGTCAGTGTCACAGTGTTCTGCTTCATGACAACCATGAGTTACCTCTGTATAGCAAGTGGACAGACCAGGGTTACACGACCTAGAAGAATGTTTCACCAAAAACAGGCAGACCTGGGTGCCGTAGAGTAGAGTCACCTACCTGAAAATACACAGTTCAAATCCACCAACTACTTTGTGGAAGAAAAATGAGCAAGCAATTCCTGTGCAGTTTCTTGCATATGAAAACATACTAGGGGGACATCTATGAGTCATTTCTGACTTGATGGCACAGAACAGCAGCCACAACAGCCAAAATCAACTCGGCTCCAGAGCTCCCGCTTAGCTTATTTTTAAGGTGACTCCTTATAACTATACGTAAATGGTCACTCTTACTTGAATTTGTTCTTCTATTTCCACACTGCACCACCCCCAGCCCCCACCTCCACCCCTGGCTTTTGTGACCTGCGTGGTTGGTTGCCTTTAGCTTTATGAAGCTTGTTCTGAATGGTCCTGTCTTTAAGTACTTTGGAGGAGAATATCTACCCATTCTTCCCTGTGCGTCTCATTTGCAGGTGATTCTACCCGTCTTGACCAATGAGAAGAATCATCTGGGTTGGCCCCACGTGGTGTGTCAAGATGTCAGGCAGCACGCCCACAACCTCCAGTGTAACCTTTGGGTTATCCTTGAGCAAGTGAAGGGGAAAACTTTGCTGCCTCTTCCAGTAGGCTCCGAAAAGATGGAGTTTGTGGACTCTGAGACTGTGTAAGTACCACCAGTACTGGCCATGTGGGTCTCCGAGAGGCAGGCAATGCTGGTGGCTCTGAATGTTCGTGACTTTCCCACTCCTGACCCGTGCTTCTCCTTGTTCTGTACATCCGCCTGCACAGGTCTGCTCTGTTTGCCAGCATCTCTTCAGACAGTGTGCTCAGTGTTGATGACGACCCTGTCCCCAGTCCCTCTGCCCAAAGTATTTCAAGGCCATCACGGCTGCATAGTGTTTTCCTGTGCAGAATCAATCTCAAAAGGAGAGCAGCCTCCCCAAGTTCAGTACTTTGTTCGTTGGGATAGTGTCTCATCACTGGCAACAACCCAGGTGCATGCTGGGAGACAGCCACGGCCCTTCCCAGCATCCACAGGAGGTCTCAGCATTAAAGCTGGGGGCTCCCATTAGAGTCCCAGAACCCTCCTATCCCAGCACACAGGGAATTTTTTCAGGTCCTGGTGATTTTCCTTTTTTTAGTAAAAGCCAGTCTGTGTGTCATCTGTGCTTCCTGTCCCTGGGGCATCACACCAACTCCAGCCTCTTCTGCTTTTGGAGCAGTGTCCACCTTGCTTTCAGCGTCCACCTACTATCCTGGCTTTAAATTATCTTTGCTTTTGGCCTCTGATGATTTTTTTTTTCTCTCAAGCTAGGCTGTGTGTTTAAATGTCATGTTGTTTGTTGTTATGTGCTGTCAAATCACTTGCGATTCATAGAGACCCTGTGTACAATAGCTCTGAACCCTGCTCTATCCTGTGCCAACCTTATTGTCTCTGACACACTTCCTCCCATTACCTCAGTCACTGAATCAGTCCATCTTACTGAGGGTATTCCTCTCTTGCACTATCCCTCCACACTCCCAATCATGATGTCCCTCTCCAAGGACTGGTCCCTTCTTGCAACATGTCCAAAGTATGTCAGATGGAGCTTCAGAATCCTGGCCTCCAAGGAGCAACCTGTTTCACCCTCTCTAGGATGAACCTCTTAGTTGTTGTTGTTAAGTGCTGTTGAGTCGTAGACAACTCATAGCAACTCTATGAAGGGAAAACCTGAACACTTGTATAACTTTCATCATTTCTCCAAGTTCATAGAGTTTCTGGAGGCAAGCTATTTCTGAAGTGGATGCCACTCCTGCTTCCAAGCTTGTTTTAATTGGGGAGCTCCACCAAACACTGTCCACCATGGGTAACCATTATCACACTTGACACATCAGTGTCACAGTGTTTAGTATCATAACAACCACGAGTTACCTCTAATAGTCCATGGTATATTCAATACTCTTCTCCAGCACTATATTTTATCAAGCACTTCTATATGCCCTAGAAAGAATTTATTTTCTCCATAAGCTTTGTCTTCCATGTTGCCAAGTGCTTCCCTATCATCATTGTCTATTCAGGATTACTAATTTGATCTGAAGAATAAGTCATTCATAGGATGAAAGTATACTTATAATGGGTCCTCCTTCTCCCTCGCAAATAACATGCCACTTATATACTTTGAAATAATTTCTAGTTAGCTGGGAAACATATTGTGTTTTAAGGAAAAATATCCAATTTTCAAGGCAAATAAATTCAAATTAACCACTTTCCTGGTCCCTTTATATGTCACTTAGTGACATTCAGTGTGAGTTTGACATGCATTGTTCAGTCTGGATTTTTTTTTTGTTCAAAATTGATAATTTTCCAAAAGACTGGATTGTATTTGAGGGAGGTGCCTCTTGCCTGTAATTCCCTCCGTAATCACTTGTGCCATGCCACTGATCAGCAAATATGAACTGAATGAAACTAAGTGAAGATGGGTTTCAGGCATGAAAATTTTAATGACATGCTCTCTTATTTTGTCATTTGTGCCCTGGGTTCCCAGCATGCATCATTTTCAGATGAGATTTTATGAAACAGTAACCAAATTGTGGAGTTTTCTTTTGAATCCTTTGAAAAATATGTTCCTTGGCTGCCATGAACTTGGTCTCCAACTCACAATGGCCTCTTGCAAAATGAGTTGAGACTATTGTAACTCTTAGTGTGATCCATACAGTTTCACAGATTGTTTTAAAGAATGTTGCCAGGTCTTTCTTCCTAGTTTGTTTTACACTGGATGCTGAACTTTATCATCATAGCTACCTACTAGCTTCCAGGGACAGATGTATGGTGGCTCTGTGGGAGGTGCATTGACCAGAAATCAAACCATTATGGAAGGCAAGATTTTCTACCATGGAACCATCATTTTCAAAACATAAAAACTAGCTGCCATGGTGTTATTTCCAGCTCCATAGATTTCTGTGAAGAATTGAAGGCACAGGATTTCAAAAAATAGCTAGGTTAAAAAAGAAGTGTAAAGTCTCTGATAAGACAGGGAGGGAGCCTTACTGGTGGTGTCCATGGAGAGTTGCGCTGCTAACCCAAAGCATCTCTCTGGAAGTTTGAATCTCTTTCCCTGTGATTTCTAGCCTTCCACAAGCCTGCCAGAGAGTCAGCTATGAGACAATTATGACTTGATGGAAATATGAGAGAGAAAGATAAAGGGAATAGTTGTGCTTTCCCTTCACTGAGAAAGTGAGTACAGAGAGAAGTCATGATTGTGGTGTTCAGATGGCTGATAGTTTGCTTTATGGAGGAGAATGTGACTTATTTCATCTTGCTGCAGGGATCACGATGAAGATCATAGTAAGGAAATCACAGGGAGACAGAGAGAACTTTGGCGAGGGACAAACTTCTCTCCAGAAACAGCTGATCAACTCTGGAATGCATTTTTGTCAAGCAGGGAGCTTGATACTGCGGGTGGACTTTCAAGCAAAGTTGGGTGGTCATCTGAACATTTTCTGTCCAAACTTCCTAAACCAACAGGAAGCTTTGGTGGGATTCAGAATTCTGCAACTTGTCTTCAGAAAATTGGTGGGCCCCTGAACCTGTAGGTTAGCTATGTTTGTCTACATATTTTTAGGAGGGTTGTCTGTACTTTTCATGGGCTAGTCAATGCAATCTGTTATCCACGAAAATTTCAGGGTTCCTGTTGTTGTTGTTGTTGTGTGCTGCTGAGTCGTCTGCGACTGACTCATAGTGACCCTATGTACAATCGCCCTAAACTCTGCCCTATCCTGTGTCAATCTCACTATCTCTGACACACCTACCCCCATTACCCCAGTCACTGAATCAATCCATCTCATCGAGGGTCTTCCTCTCCTGCACTGTCCCTCCACTCTCCCAAGCATGACGTTCCTCTCCAAGGACCGGTCCCTCCTTGCAACATGTCCAAAGTATGTCAGAATCCTTGCCTCCAGGGTACCTGAGCTACATGGAATTCCCCACCTGTTTCTGAAAGATTCTGTGTTGGGGAACACTTGGAGTTAAGTTCTCATCCCTCACGTCTTTCACAGCTTGGATTCCATAGATAAGTCAGTCATCTACTCCATTGAGTCCGCGGTGATCAGATGGAGCCACCAAGTCCAGGTGGTGCTCAAGAGAGAGTCTTCCCTGCCACTCTTGCAAGGAGAGAATCCCATGCCGAAGGTGGAGTTGGAGTTCTGGAAGAACAGGTAGGCCCTGGAGCTTATGCTCAATACCTGGGGAGCAGATGTCACCAGAGGACAAAGCCACCTGTGGCCCAGCTTAGCCTAGCAGAGTCTCATTCTCCACGTGGCTCCCATCATCTCTAGGGGCAGCGCCATCTGCATCAATATTATTTTTCTATGGACTGGGAGATGCACTCTTTCTGAAGGCCCACTAGTCTTCTTTCTGGAGCTACAGCCAGTGTGTCTTCTGACGTTTCCTCAATGGTTCTTTCAACACATAAAATTAAGTAAAACGACCCCCTGGATTACTTTCACCTGATAGTCTACTTTCTTCCTGATGAACAATCAAAGCTACATACTTTTCACAGGAACTGGAGAAAGAGCCGAAGGCTCTCCCCTTGGTCCGTGTGCCTCCTTACTAGGAATGGAAGGTCCAGCCATCTGCTGGGCCCTGGGGCATTATTGCTCCTGTTTACTCTCCATCTCCCTCTCCATTTGCTCGTTATTTGTCACTGTGCTGATTAATCCTTTCTGCCACTGGAGACAGAAAGATATTAAAGGTAGGTGTTCCTGCCCTGGGATTGAATAGAGTGTTGGTGTCACATGGCCAGGCATTGCCAACAGGACACCAGCCATGTTTAGGCCACCATGCTGAGATGCCCTATCCCCGTGCCTGGTTTCTGACCATTCCACTGACCTGCTGTGAGCCTTGTTCCAACAATGCTTCACTCCTCCTGACCCAAACCCTCCTGCAAGCATGAATAGCCTCCAGCTGTCAAGGTTTGGGTCACCACCGCCTGACCACTGCAGAGTTCCCACCTGTTACCTCCTGCAGCTGTCCCTCTGAGCTTGTGTTCCTGGCTCGAGCTTTTGCCCCCACTGTCCCAGGAGCAGATGCTGTGGCTCTTTGAGCTGGACGTGGCCTTGGTGAGAGCACCCTGCAGCAGGGCTCCTCTCTTTCTGCACAGTGTCATCACAGTGTGACTGGCATTTTCTGAAGTTCATGGGCATTTGCCTTTCTCTGTGGCATTGTAGGTATGAAGATCTGGAATACATTTATAGTCAACTGAAGACCATCAAAGTGAGGGGCATGGCTGGACTCCTGGACAGACTTCGGAGCAGCTACTTCCCTGCATTCAAAGCGATGTTCAGAGACATCATCACAGGTGAGGACCTCTAAGGATTTTCACAAATACCTTTGACTCAAAATGTGACTTAGTGACTTTGCTTTCTGAATTCAGCCACTTCAAGTCATTAGAATCACTCAACCTGAGAGGATACAGTATAGTGGCAAAAATACCAAATGTAGGAGCAGGAAAGCAGCTCCTCTCTGCCCTGTGCTCCTCTGCTGCGTGACCTTGTGCGAAGTCTCTTACCCATCTCAGGCTTTAGTGCACACCACAGGTAGGTGGAGATGCTTCCTGCCTGCTTCACCTGACCACGTGAGAGAGAGAAGTCCCTTCTTGGCCTGGATGGCACTAAACACGTAGCTGTTGCCATCTGTCACCTCAGGGGATCAGGTCCCCCAGCCCCTGGCTGCTTGAGAAGTCTCTATTCCATTTCTGGCTCTGTTCCTGCTGTCAGATGGGACTGCACTTCCTGGGCAGCTGACCACCAGACAAGATCTTCTCTGGTCAAAATTGCAAAGCCTGCAAAGTCTATAATTAGAAGGAAGTGATTTCTTCCCCCAGGGTTCCTCCTCCCCTCATCAGTGCACATTACTTCTCTCTGCCTCTGTCCTGTCGAACCTTCTCCTAGTTTTCCGGTATCGTAAGTCAGAATGCATTCTTGAAGGTATTTGCAATTTCATATGATTTAAGTTTAATCTGAGCAGTGGTTTTCAAACTTTTGTTTCTCTGCCAGCACAATTTCTTTTAACTACCTGCCCTTGTATGAATCGCTGGGTGGAATAAATGATGAATTCACTCCACTGTCAAATAAAAGGTTCTTGTCCACCCAGAGGTGCTGTGGGAGAACAGCTGAGTGTTATACCTATGGCAAAACAGCTGCTGACAATCCTACAGAACACGCTTACACACTGACACATGGCGGGCTGGCATGAGCCAGTCAGCTCCATGTCAGCTGATTACCAAAGTCCAAAACACAAAATTAACCACATTGTAGCGGTCTTGTTCAAGAGGCCTGGGAGAGGCTGCATCCAAAGCTCTGACTTGCCCTCTGCTGGCACAGAGTTTAGGGGTCACTTAGCTAAAGTGATGCTCACTTCCCTAAGGGGAGCTCTGATGACGTACTACATAGAGAATTGCACTGTTAACCAAAGGCCATACTTCTCTGGAAGTTCACATCACCAAATGCTTTTAGTAGAAAGATGGACAGTCTCCTCTCATATGATTTACAGCCTCAGAAACCCACTAGAGCGTTAGCTGTGGCAACTCAGCAGCACTGAGAGTGGGTAAATAGCTAAGGGGATGAATTACTGTTGGGAGAGTTTCTGATACCATCTGTTAAGAACTGACATAAAGAAGTCGGGTTTGAGCCCTGTCACCCTCCCTAAAAGCATCAGAGAATGCCTTCTACTGGCATATAGAGCTGACTTAGACCATATCTTTCTGGAGGTCCATTTACTGTATGGCTGAGAGATTCTGTACTTAAGTGGATCTGTTGTGCCCACTTGATACTTCAGTTCAGTTAGACAGGTATTCACTTAGGTGTGCACCTTTCCTGGTGGTGTGAGGGGTACTTGAGGAAGGGGGCCAATGCTCAGAGAGTTTTGCAATGTGTTAAAATACAAAAATTATTTTTTCGCAAAAGATAGCAATTTTCCATTAATGGTAGTGGCTTACAGTTTTTATTCTGTATAGTATTGTCTAGTTAAAATATGAATCAGTTTTAAAAAAAATGAAGAACTGAGCAAGTTTTACATGGAAGTGACCAATATATAGATGTGTGCACATGATCCAAATTTGAGCCTCTGAAATAAAACAACATAGAAAATTATACTTATAACTTGTTTATTTGGAGTTCTAGATATATATTTCACATTACTAGATAAATAGACTGTAACTGTTCACAAAAAGTAGGGAACTCTGGTATCTTAGTGGTAAGGAGTTGTGCCCCCAACCCAAAGGTACATGGTTCAAATTCACCAGGTGTTTCACAGAAGATGAACAGTTTCCTCCTGTGCCATTTTCAGCCTCTGAAACCCCACTGAAGGGTCAGCTATGAGTTGGTTCCTACTAGATGGCACATAACAATAAAAGATTACGGATAATGTAGTAATAGATCAAGATCAATGGTAATTAATTATACAAAATACAGTGTATATGAATGATTTTATGAAGCAATGTAAATGAAAGATTGTATGGAGCACAGTGTAAATGAATGAAAGAAAAGGTAAACTATTTAATAAAAGACAGGTCAGCTTCAAACTAGAGTGTATTCTGGCAATGAAAAGAAATTATATTAAGCAATACCATTAAAATAATGCCAGATAAACACTACTATAAGTTTTAAAAACTGTTAATATATAATTCAGTTATGTTGGAAGCAGGAGTGGCATCCACTTCCTAAACAACATGCCTCCAGAAACTATGAACGTTGATAAATGTTGATAGTTATAGAAAGGCATCAGGTCATAGGGTTGCTGTGAGTTGTGCTCGACTCGATGGCAATCAACAACAGTTCAGTTACGATGCTAGAGGAAAAGCAATTTTGATTTGAAGAGTTAAGCACAGACTTTGGCAGAAAGTTAAGTGATCTCTTCTAAACACTGAAATATTTCAGAGGCTAGCAAGTAATTTTCTCATTTCTAATTTTATTTTAGAGCGTTTGATATTCTTTATCCTAAAAAGACATATACCACACACATTATTCTTACTAATTATGATCACCATTGGTCTTTGTTTCACTGATGGGTTTAAAAGAAGTTGGGGCAAGATTAAGTGTACAAGAGGAGAGAATGAAGCATGAAGGAAAATAAAGAAGGAGCTTAAAAGGGTAGAAGAAATTAAAATGGAATATATCTGGCTGTGAAAAAGTTTGGAAACCAGGAACAACAATCCCTTTGAGAGTAAGAACAGGAGTTATAATTAGGAAATTTCATCTGGCCACTGGACACAAGGTCGGCGTAGTACAGCCTGATGTTCGTGAATGTGTGGGGAAAAAAGTTGTAGTTCAATAGGTCACTAAAAAGAAATTGAATTAAAAAAAAGAAATTGGATAAAATAATACCATTATAATAATGCAGATAAACATTGCCTTTAAATATGTAACTCAATTGCTATGCTAAAGGAGAAAGCCCTTTGATTAGAAGAGTTAAGTACAGACTTGGGCTCAAAAGTTAGAGACCCTGTATCCACATATTCCAGCTTCCCTTTTCTACCACTGCCCATGCACTCAACAAAATCACGTGGGTGGGCAATTTACATGGACACAACAGGGATTCTTTATACCACACAAACTATCTAATGCCACAGATAAGGCCTTTTGCCCCTGGAGAGTCTGTTGTTGAGTTTTATCAGCAAACTGCTGCAGATTTTTGTGCAACTGGCTATGTTTATTTATATACTTTTCCAAAGTGCGGGCCTAATACAACCAGTCTGTCTTCATTTGCCTTGTGAACAAAGATTCTGGACAACCCAATCCTAGCTCAAATAGCATATGCCTAAAAATCAGGCAAGTGGCTATTTGTGTTAAAGGACTGTTTGTTTTTTTAAAAAGTTTCAAAATAGAATGTCACAAATAAGGAGGCCCACTCTTACCCTCCCCTTTTCCCCAGAATGTAAGGAGTTCTAGAGTATATGCCCACCAGGATGGCTGTTGGATTTTGACAGCCTTCTCTAAGCCACACAGTTTCTGAGCCTAACCATCCTCCTGCCCCCGTTGAGAATCACTGTTCTGATAAAGTTACCATGAAATTTTACTTTCAAAACTTGATTCAGGAGGGTGCAGAGGCAAGATGGTTTCCTGGTGGCACACTCTCCCCTGTCCTTCTACAACAGAGATCAAGAAGAAAAACTGAGTGCAAAAGACTATCCTGGAACTCAAAGCATCAGCAGATACTGAACTGATACAAAGACTCATTAGGGAGACAAAGCCAAAAAGTGACCAAGAGAATAGTTGGAGCAAAGCCTTCTGTGGCCCCTGGCCACCAGAAGAATCCACATGAACAGAAGTGCCCAGTCCTGTGGGATCCACACACACACACACACACACACACACACACACACACACACCATGGGCAGATCTGCAACACACACACACACACACACACACACACACACACACCATGGGCAGATCTGCAATGAACTAAGGTGAGCCAATTACAAGC